GGAGCCCCGCCCGCCCCGGCCCCACACTGACCTCGCCGCCGCTCACGTACAGCTCCATTTTGTGGCAGGGCTCCGGCTCCTCCGCCTCCTCCAGCGGAGCGAACGGCACCATGTCCCGGCTCTTCTCCTCCTCCTCGCCGGGCAGCCGCCGCGCATTCCCCGGCTCAGAGGCGACGGGCAGCCGCGGCGGACTCCCTCCTCCCGCCCATCGAGCGGCGGCGGCGACGCTGGGGCTACTGCTGCTGCTGCCGGCCGGCGGGAGCGGCTCGGCTCTGCGCTCCCCCGCGCACACCCCCCAACATGGCGGCCGGCGGGGGCGGGGCCTGCGCGGCGTGGGGGTGACGTCAGGGCGGGCCGGAGAATCCCCTGCATGGGGCGGGGGGGCGGTGACGCAATGTGACGCGGTGGCGCCGTTAACGCTCCCTGGGGCGCGCGGCGCCTCGCTGAGGGGATGGGGCGGGACGGCGGGCGGCGGTGCCCTCCCGCCTGAGGGGCCGCGGTGGAGGGCAGTAAGGACCAGCGCCACCCGAGGGGACACTGAGGGAGGGCCACGGGGGGCGTTCGAATCGGAACAAAAGGGGGAAGAAAAGCGATCGTGTGAGGGCGGTGAGACCCCTCGGCCCGCAGGGAACGCGGCCCGGCCCCTGCCTTGGGCGCGGTGAGTTCCCCTCAGGAACGCTGGTGGGCCCGGCTCAGGAGCGGCCCCTGCGTGGGAAGGCGACACCTCGGAGGTTGGCTCTCCTGCCCCATGAAGTGACAGGGTAAAAACCACCAAGTTTATTTTGGTTTTCCACGTCTAAAGGTGGCAGGATTCAAAGCACGGGCGGCTGGAATGTGGGAGAACCACAGCCTGGTTCTTGGTGAGGCGCGAGGTGCCAGTAAGCGGTGTGCGGGTCTGCGGGAGAGCCCAGCAGCCCGCTTCGCCCCGGCCACGAACACCCAGGGGACAGACACCTTTGTGCCCAGGTGTGTGTTCAGAGAGTAACGCGACAGCATTTACAAACCTGAGGGGGTAGAAAAAAAAAGGCCGTGGATGAAAAAATAATATTTCTCCATCACTGTTTTTAGGAGCTGGAAAATACTAGATGACACTGCCAAAAATACGTATTTTTAAGGATAGAAAACTGCCTGGATGAAAAAGTGGATGAAAAAATAATATTTCTCCATCACTGTTTTTAGGAGCTGGAAAATACTAGATGACACTGCCAAAAATACGTATTTTTAAGGATAGAAAACTGCCTCAATGTCACTACGTTTGTATTTAAGCACTCTGCATGACTTATTAGTAAGCCCTGCCCTTTACATAAAGGTAGCAAAGGAAGTATCAAACAATTCTTAATTGCCAAACAATTTTGATGAAATTAGCACGACCGAGGGAACAAGCTGGTAAACTCCATAGTCCAGAATGCTCTCCTGTGCAGATTTTTTTTAACTTGGAAGTCAATCATTGTACAAACAAGTACATAGTGCAAGATGCTGTGCTGCTGTAGTCCTTGATTAAATTAGAGCGACGTGTTTGACAAAGCTAACCATTACTGGTTCCTGTCGCTGAGCCTGCTGAGGAGCGTTGCCTATTGTGAATGTGTCATTGCAGCAACAGCCAGCTGGCATGTCAGCATTTCCATTGCAAACCTATTTTTAAAGGTCTGTAACTCAACTGTGGAAGACAAATGTTTTGGACTGAAAGGGGGACTGTGTACCAGGAATGTTCATCCTTCGGAAAATAAAAAGTATGCGAGAAAATGTAGCACCAAAGTTACCAGTACTTACTATCTAAAGAGAATTTACATTTGAAATATACAACTGTTTAGGCTAGGTCACTTGTAGACATTTTTGTTACAGTAGGAATGTGTGAACATGGAGCTTTTAGAGCAATTAAGTGACTGGAGATGAAGGGACAAGACCTTCATGGGCCTTTGGTTCACACACAGCTGCGTCCCCCTGTGCCTCTGTTCATACAACCTCTGTGCATCCAACAAGAAGCCAAATGGCCAAATCTTTCTGAGAGATTAAATGTGTTGTACTTGAGTAGTGCTAGGAGGCAGATGTTAATTTAAATATAAAGGAAATCAAGTGAGAAGTGACTTTTGGAATGTGCTTGAGTGCTCAGAAAGAACTTGTGTCTAAAACTTGTGTTGCTGATGCTGTTTCCCCATATCTGGCTTTTCTTATTGCCTCAAACAACAAGAGATTGCAAACAAGTGTTTTGCATCCCCGAAGTCTTAACACTATAATGTTTGAAAAGTATGGAGAAAAGCAATAATCAAGTAAGTTAGGATTGTTATTCATGTCAAAGACTATAAAAGGGAAATTATGATATATGTAGATCTGTAGATCTCACAACCAAAGAAGCAAAAGGTAAATAAAAAGGCAATATGTCACTTAAATTTAAAACTTTGGAAGATATCCCCCCTAATGGTCCTTCATAAAAAAATAAAGCATCAAGAATATAATTACAACTATTAATTTAGGAAGACCAAGGCCACATGTCTTGGGTTTCAAATGAATATTTAAATATTATATATTTGATATTTTTGGTATGTTTTTCTGGAACATTTAATCTAGCCGACGTCCATGACTGTATGGATATCAGATCTCATTTGGTGTGCAGTTTTCAGATGAGGGTATCACATCTCATTTGAGGCGCAGCTTTCAGCTGAATATTTTTTACATTCCTGCACCTTAATTTGTTCAGCAGGTTCTGCCTGTTATGTTCCTCAGCAGGTCGTTCCATGATCAGCATGATATTACAACCACTTTTTCCTCTGTTAAGTGCTTTTATTAGATGAAGGTTTCAAAGTAACCAGTTTCTAAATATTTATTCACTTTAAAATTAATTCTATGACGTGGCAAAGTTGCTGACAATGCTCTTTTACTGAGCCTAATAGGAAAGGAATTACAATAATAATAATAATAAATGGGATCTGCAGCCAAAATTCAGCTTGTTCAGTGTCAATAGTGTGAACTCCAACCACTCAGTTGTCCCTTTTATAGACCTCAGGGCTGCAGCCAACTGACAATATCCTTGCTTAGTTTGCTCATTCAATTTCCCTGAAAGTATCAGTCATACACTTGAAAGTACGAGCAACAGATTATTTATGAGGTAAAAAAATCCCTGCAGATTTCCTGCATATCATTCCTAGCAGGACATTTCTGAGAGAGGCGTGACACGGAGCTGTGTTCTGTATTAACTTTTCTGTCAATTTCTATCGACTTTGTCCCTTAACAAGTTTATTTCAGGAGAGTCCTGCAAACTTTTTGTTCATTCACCCAGAACATTTTTTGAGAAAGGAAAAATAAGAATATTATCATCAGGCCAGAGTCTTTGGTTCCCCTCCTCCCCCCCAGCTAATGATACTGGAATCCAAACCATGCTAACCATGGCAAGTACAGCGCAGCTCCACCCTGGAAAGCAAAGCAGAAAAAACAGTGTGAATATAGGAATATGTGAATAGTATCTAGTTCAGCAAGATCCCAGGAAGGAAACTATACAAAAAGCAAAGTTTGAGGAAGCTACCCAAGCCAAGACTGACATTTTTATTGCTTTTCCTGTGATGGTAAAACCCCTGAAAGGGAACGGGTACAAATTTAAGTTTAGTAGATTCAATTCGAGGCAGACTGTGAACTTCAGTGTTGATTGTAAACATGATTTTTTGGGGGGATACGTTTAATTTCTCAGGGCAAGTTTATTCAAGTTCATCATCATTTCACCTTTAATCTTTTGTACAATACGACTTAACAACACTTGCACAGACAGAACAGCACAACTCTATCCTATTGTGTGTATGAATTTACGTGGGTACAAAGCAGGCCTCTGTTAGCACAACTTGTTCTCATATGAGAAAGAAAAAAAACTGTCCTGATGCTTTGAAAATGTATAGTTGTATGCCCGTGTCTAGACCAGAATTTGACCAGAGGAAGAACAGATCTGTGTATATTTGGATTGAATTATGGAAGAGTACCACGACAAAACCTTTAGTCAATGCTATCTTAGTCTGAATATAAAATAGAAACGAGAGTCCATATCCCATCCTGCATATACATGTGGTATAAAATATAGTGTAAACAGTTTGATGTTGTTAAACAATCTATTGTATACTTTGCCCTACCCTACAGAGGCAAGAGAAGTCACTCATTTGAGGAAACAACAAGAATCACTTTAATACTCAGTTACAGTTATGCTAAACGTATGAAGCACAAGTGAAGAGGCCCGTACTGAATGCCTCAGCTTTATGATTGTATTTTTCCATCTACATCTGTTGTACTTTTGTAGCAAGTTTTTTAAAAATCTCAGATTATAAAAAAATATTTCACAGATAAAAAAGGAAGCCAATTGCAGACAATGCTCCTAGGTCAACACCTTAAAAAAGATCCTCAATACTCATTATTTCACTCTCACCGTCAAAGCGAACACTCTTCTTTTGGCCTATTTTATGACCACAGGACAAACTGAGCAGGACATTTTGCCACATTGTCCACAATGAGCTAAAGAAAGATCTCAGCCATATGGAGAATGCAATGAATTTATCTGTGCTGATTATACTGCATTAAGCAGTGAATGAAAACTGCAGAAAAGCGCTAGATTTTTTGATGCTTATCTAAATCTTTTTCACTTAGAACTTTTTAGTGTCGTTTTTGATTTCAAAATGCATTTTGAGTTAAAATGTTCTACAATATTTTTCCCACCAAAATTGAGTGAATACTGCAAACCAGCCAACTGACACATCTCAGAAATTCTATGTGGTCAAATGAAAAGCTACATACAGTCAAATTAAAGATCCAGTATTCTGTCTCCAATGCTTACCAGATGAAAAATACAAACAGGATACATGGTAGCTAAGAATACTCCTCCAGAATTTGTTTTCAGCCTCCAGCAATACAGGTTTCATGAGTCAGGGGCAGTATCTTGCACGAAATAGTCTTGATGGATATTTTTTCCTTCAATTTGCCCAAGCCTTCTTGAGTGTCTAAATTTTCAGCAACTGTAAATTCTCACAAGTGCCACAACTGTTCCTTACGTCAAAAGTGTCTCACTCTGAGTCTACTACTTAGTTTCACCTGGTGCTCTCTAGCCTTACATTGTAAGGAAGACTGATTAATCACCCTCTCCACATCGTTTGTGATTTTATTCCACCTCTACCGTTCTACCATACGATGCTCTGCTCTGCTCTGTTTCCCAGGCTGAAGATCCCTGGGCTGTTTAGTCAGTTGTAAATGAAGGGTGGGGAGATTCCGGTCTCTCTCTGTAGATATTTTCACTAGTCATTTGGAAGCAAATATAAAATAA